CCACATTATGTAGTATAGTATAAAAAGTTTACCAAAGTACACAGGCAGTTGATGCCTTCCATGGTAGTTTGGACTACAATGGAAAATTCTTCAGATCAAGGAACATGCTTGTCTCCTCAATGTACTGGGCTAAGGATGAGCAATTTAGACATTGGCTACCAAAAATTGGCCATCATAGTGGATGGCTTACAAACTTTCGTGGGTGTGCTCAGTTTCAAAATGAGGGGAAAGGTAGACTCCCCTCTGAATAGTTTTCCCCTTTCCCAGATGGGTTTGGTGAAAGGGGGTGGGGGATGATGCTGATAGGATTTTATGATTTATTTGTGAGTAATTGTTAACAGGATAAATTGTTGTTACGTGCCGTCAACTCAGTTCCTACTCATAACAATCCTGCGTAGTGTTTCTGATCTGAGAACAACTGGTGAGTGTGAACTGACTGACCTGTGGTTAGCCATCCAATGCTTATCTATACTGCCACATCAGCACTCCTTAACTATATAGTAGACCGTTTGAATGTTACAGCTTACTGATGCTCATTTCTCTTAAAATTTTTTCCTTTCATTTTGAATAATTACTATAGCTGTCTTCAAGTTCAGTAGTATTTCATAATGCAATATCTAATCTGTCATAAATCCTATCCAGTGTATTTTTAACTCATTGTATTTTTTATTTCGAAAAGCTCCATTTTGGTCCTTTTTTTATTGTCCATGTTTCTACTTAACTTTTTGAAGGCAGAATATAGTATTAATAATTTCTATTGTGTTTATTAAGGAGCTCTGGTAGAGTAGTAGTTACAAGTCAGGCTGCTAAGCTCAAAGTCAGCAATTGGAAACTATCAGCCTTTCCACAGGAGACAGATGCTTTCTGCTCCTCAGAAAGATTTACAGCCACAGAAACCCTATGAGTCAGAGCCAAGTCCACGGCACACCAGCACCACCACCAACAGCATTGTGTTTATTTGCTATATCCAACATCTCTTGTCAATTGTAGGACAGTTTTAATTGACTTAGTATCCTCACATATGGTTTTATTTATGCTGTTACTGTTGTGTGCCATCGAGTCAGTTCCAATTTATTGTGACCCTGTATAGGATTTCCAAGAATAGCTGGTGAGTCTGAATTGCCAATCTCGTGGTTACCACTCCAGTGCTTAACCTATAGTACCAGACTGGGTGTCCTTAATTGGATGCCAAATAGTGTGAACTTTATCTCATCAGGTGCTGGATAGTTTTATTTTTCTAATAAAATGTTTGAGATTTGTTTTGGGTTGCACTTATACTCCTAATGATTTTGAATCTTATTTTATAATAGGTTAGGTTGAGGCCATGAGCATGCTAAGTATAGGGCTAATTATTTCCCATTATTAAGTTCTGGAGTCCTGGTATGGCACCATAGGAAAAGCAGAGCACTACTAACCACCAGGTAAGTGGTTCAAACCCACCAGCCACCCTATACAGGGTCGCTATGAGTCAGAACCGACTTGATAGCATTTAACAACAACGGGAGACAGTTTTGTTTGTACAGTTTGTGATCAACAATTGGCTATTACCAACTGGCTCTGCAGAAGATAAGTCTGTGGAAGGAAAATCTGGTGAAGAACTTCCAAAAAGATTACAGCTAAGAAAACCCCATGCAGCAGCAGTTCTACTCTGTAACATTTGGGTAAACATGTGTTGGAATCCCCTTGAATGGCAATGGGTTTGGTTGTGTTGTTGTTGACCCAAGCGAAAGCAACTACCCAGTGCCCTGTGACAGGCATTGTTATAGGTCCCATGTGGAAGAGTCCCACTGTTCCCTCTAATCTTCTCACATGGTTTTCTTGAGCTTCGGGTATTTTCTCACATACATGACCTGATCATTTCTGAGTTGGATACTCGAGGGATTCTCTCCTGTTCTCTGTTCTGTGAACTCTGTCTGGCTCTCCCCAGACACTCACTCGCATCAGTCAGCTTAGGTTATCTGCTAGGGTCTTCTTCAGTTCCCCTGCCATGCACTGGAGCAATTGTAGCGCGCAATTCAATTATTCAAGTGATCTTGAAATCCTTTTTTTCTCCATATGGGCTGTTAGACTTTTGTTTTGTTTTGTTTTGAATTTGAGTGTTTTAGTAGGAAAGGTAAATCCAGTCCTTGCTACTCCATCTCAGCCAGCAGCAACAGGAGTTACAACTAACTTAAAAAAAAAAAAAAAAAATTCCCAAGTTTTGGGAATTTAGCAACTAAGAACATCCACAATTATCTGAAAAAACTATTACAATGCTTCCCATTTCCTCAAGTACATATCTATGTGAGACTGGACTTTTCCCCATATACTTCAACCATAATAACAAATCGCAACAAATTAAATGCAGAAAAATGATATTCTGTCTTCTATAGTCAGATGAGATTTGCCAAAAGTGTAAACAGTGTTACTTTTCTCATTAAGTTTCTTATTTTAGAAAATTAATTCCATAGAACTATGGTGATATGTTATGATTTATTTTTATTTTAAAATAAAATATATAATTTTAGCAAACGACAACAGATATAACACACATTAAACAAAGGCTTTTTTAGGGATCAACTTTGTGAGACGGTAAAAAAGTCCCAGCACTGAAAGCTTGAATACCATTGTTCTATATAGTGTGCATTTAACTAGAAAACTTAATTTTACTATAGGGATCCAAATCCTGCTAGCAGTTTTAAATAAACCAATTTTTGTATTATGCAGTAAGACTTCCCCCAATAATTTAAAATAGAATACCCGGAAGTTATACAAGAATAAAGTGCAATAAAGACATTTGGGACTAGCTATACACTTGTGGCGTTGTGGGTTAATGCGCCAAACTACAAAGCCATTTGAACTGCAATGTCAGCGGTTCAAGCTCACCAGCTGCTCCTTGGAAATGCTACATAGGGTAGCTATGGGTCGGAACTGACTCTATGGCACACCACCACCACCAGTACCATCATAAATGAGAGAGAAGAAATCAATTCCAAGTAGGATACTCAAGGAAGAGTTTCAGAGTCCTGGTGTGGCACTGTGGGCTAATGCATCAGACTGCAAAGTCATTTGAACGGTCGTTCAAGCTTACCAGTTGCTCCTTGGAAACCCTATACAGGGGTCACTATGGGTGGGAATCGACTAGACGGCACTTAACAACAACAATTAATGAATGAATAAAACAGGCTAAAGGCACTTGAAGGGAAGCAAGGGGTAAGCAGGGAAGAGTTTAAGCAGAGATAGAAACATACAAAGCAGAGGTAGAATACAGTGAAGCCAATTCAGAAAAAATAAAGGTGTTCAATTCTTCATTGTTTTATATAAAAAGTGTCCTCCATTTATTTAAGCTACTAGATAGTCTTCTTGTTGTTAAGTGTTATCGAATCCATTTCAACTCATAGCAACCTGGCCTAGGGTTTCTGATATATAACTGGTGAGTTTGAATCAAAGACCTTTCGGTAGTTGCCCAGTGCTTATCCTACAGAGCCACACCAGGACTCTATTATACACTTTTAGACAATAAAGTTTACCTATGATTAGTCAGACTCCTAGTGTAGCATCAGCACTGGACTTTGAACCACAAGGTTGGCTGTTAAAACTCACCAGCTGCTCCTCAGAAATGCTATACAGGGTCGCTATGAGTCAAAACTGGTAAGACAGCACTTAACAACCACAAGAGGATTGGTTACTTCACTATGCATCTGAAAATACAATTTAGAAAATGGCATATGCTTACACAGGAATAACCTAAAAATGGACATAAATGATTCCTGTATTATAGCAGAACTAATGTATCTGACTCGACGGCACTTGACAAAAACAATGTATCTGAATAATGGTAGACAGCATAATAGAATATGTGTTTGCCATCTATAATTTTCTTCAGAAGTCATTTGGGAATAAAATTAGTTTTCTGCTTATGCCACCTGGCTAGATTTCTATTTTTTTTATCAGCAAGTTCCAAACAGGCAAGAAGGGGGTAAAAAGTAAAAAGAGAAAAAAATCAGTAAAGTCAGTACATTAATCAAGGTGGAAAACTGCATAGTTACAGGAAAAATATTAAAAAAAAAAGATTCTCAATTTTATGTCATGGAAAGATTGATTCTTTAATATAAGTGGAAGCAAACATTATTATTTAACAGTCCTTAATGGGCTTTTAATTACTTTCTTTTTAGTGTTATACTATAATTAATATTCCTTCAAAAAAATTATTTCATGTAGTAATATTCTGAAGCAAATGGCAGAATTGTCTAAGTGTCCCATATGGATGTTTCTACTCCCTGCACAGTTTAAACCTGCCTGTAACTTCAGGGCCAATAGAACTCACCTCTTCACCTATACAAGAGTGAAACTGGGCCAGGTGGTCTCTGAAGTCACAACCAGCTCTGAATGGTAGCAACGCTGAGTTATTTACATAGGCTGTCGACTATTTCTGGTTTTCTAAACAACTTAAGTATTTTCCCTAAAAATGTTAGAAAGTTTTCAAAATAGACACATTAAAATAGACTAATTAGTAATTTCTTTACAAATAATTAAGCCTTTTATTTCCCACCAACCATGTTCCTAGAAACATGGAAACCATTCATTAAAATTAAAAAATGTATAAAAAACTTCACCAACAGTTAATGAAAGTAAAACTTTATCAAATAGTCCCTATTATTTTAGTCAAGTTGAAGTTTGTTATTCAGAAAAGACTTAACACAAAAAAAATTGAAGTGGGTAGATTGTCTCCTTTTTGACAATTTAAAACATATAATGACTGCCCTTGGTATAATTCTAATACATAATTGATAACTTTCTGGACTTTCCAAAAGTTAGATGCAAATATTTTCACATACATCTGTAAGGAAAGTTTTCATTTACCACTGCAGACACTGATTTATTAAATAATAAGTAGAAGTCCATGCTTTATAATTCAGCATTAAATTTCTCACAGAGAAATCAAGAAAAACATTTCTCCTATCATGGATAGTTATCAACAGTCATTGTGACGTCTTCCAACCAACATTTCAGGAGACAGATTAAGTGGGAGCTGTATTTAGGGAAGATGCACGTATTTTGGCCATTCTTCGAACCAACGCTTCTTGTCTCTTTCTCTGAATTTCTTCAGGAGAATATTTTCTATTTTTCTCTTCTTCCTCTAAAAATTAAGCAAAATATATAAGCATTAGTTATATGTACTTTGAAGTCAATCTAAGAATGACTGATTTGGAAATACTTAAGAGTTGCCACACTGCTTTGGCTATTAAATAACATTACATTACCAAATATAAGATTTCAAGCCCTTATACACAGATCAAAGGACAAAGGAAAATACAGATTGATGTCTCTATTTGATGTTCTCTCTCACATAGTAATAAAATTCATTTCATTAAAACTATGTTTAATATCATCAAATAATTCTTGTAGAAATAGCAGCTAATTTACATACTCTATAAATGAGTATATTTAAAAGAAAAACTCAGATTTTAAATATTATTTAAATTTTAATGCAAAAGTAGTCAAAATATAAGATACCAAAGTACAATGGATCTCATCAATACCTCAAATAGTGTCGTTTTGTTGTTGTTGTTGTTATGTGCCGTGGAATCGGGTTCCGACTCATAACGACCCTGTAAATCTTTACGGGAGTAGAAAGCCTCATCTTTCTCCCGCTTCTTTTTAGTGTAAGATAAATAAAAAAATCCACTGCCACTGAGCTGATTCAAACTCATAACAACCCTATACAGGGTTTTGAGACTATAAATCTTAATGGGAGCAAACAGTTTCATCTTTCTCATGCAGAGCAGCTGGTAGGTTTGAACTGTGGACCTTGTGGTGAACAACACAACACCTAACTCATAGCACCATCATGGCTCCTTACTGTAAGATAAAACCAAAAAACCAAAGCCACTTTCATCAAATCGGTTCCAACTCATAGCACCCCTATGTAGGATTCCTGAGGTTGTAAATCTTTATAGAAGCAGAAGGCCTCCTCTTTCTACCAGAGGTGCTGGTGGATTCAAACTGCTGATGTTGTTTGAATTAACTGACTATACCACCAAGGCTCCTTCACTGGAAGCTCCCTTAGAACTATACTGAACAGCAGGAAGGCTGTGCAGATCCTCTTAAGCACAGTAACCCAGATGAAACAGACTCAGAGGATGGTCTCAAAACTCTGAGCTTCAGATAAAGGGATCTATATAAGTGGATCGAGTACTTACCGGGAGAAACCATTTGAACAGAAACAAGTAAGGAGGTCACTTCTGATTTGGGGTGACCAAAGTGAACTGTCACAACCACTTAGAATATGAGTGAGCAGACTGAGAAACAAGAAATCATTCCGTTTCAGAAGTCTATCAGTGTCTCACAGAGACAAATGAGCAGTGATTTTTTTTTCTACTCATTTCCTCTCAGGTGAACAGAGGTGAGATCTGTATGAGTAGACACCCCCAGTGAAGGTCCCCCCCCCAAGTCCTGAAGCTGGGAACATAATTGATGTGGGAGGAAACAACAGAAACAGTCAGAGGCTCTGCTCCAAGCAGGTCCTGGCCAGCCCAGGACTAGCTCTCACTGGGAGAAGCAGATAACGGGCCATGTGGGGAAAGAAAACAGCTGGTGGTAGGTCCGAGTGGCACAGTGATATCTGGAAATTTTTCAAGCGGTTGGGAAGGCAACAGTCCATTGGGGGAGAGACTTTCGGCAAGATGGTGGACTGGGCAGACATACTGCACAAACCACCTACAACAAAGATATGAGAGCTAGCCTGCCAGCTGTTCTGCGAAAGATGAGGCTTTCTACTCCTGCAAAGATTGAAAAGTGAACTATGACTTGGGGAGCTAAGGCCCCGGGGAAACTACGTAGGACCTGGGGGGGGGGGGGTGCCCTGATATTCAGTGAGTTACGGAAGCATATTCAAAACTTCACACCTCAAGATAGAGACAGAAGAGTTTGGGATGGGAGGTGGGTAGGGGTGTGCCACTGTTACTTTGAAACTGTGAATAATTGCTCAAACAAACAAAAGAAACAATCCATGATGGTTGGGAGTGGGGGGAGTGGAGGGCTGGGAAGTATTCTTGGGCTAGAGGGCAGATCCATGTTGAGATAGGTGACAAGGCAGACAGTATACAAGAGGGAGATTAGTAGAGGAAAGAAGATAGCAGGGAGGAATGGAATAGTGAATAGACATAAATGGTGTTAACTGTTGGTACATGGAGGGGGCAGCAAACATGTAATGAGGCAAAGTATATGATCTGTTCAATGTAAAACTGATGATCTGCTCTGTAAACCTTCATTCAATTTAAAATAAAAAGTTAAAAATAAAATCTACCTTTCTGTCTATAGAGTTACAAGGTTTCCATTTTAGCCAATGAATAGATCATTTAGAGTGAACTCTCATGTCAATTAACTTAAAAGCTGCCACCTGTGAATCACTGGCAGAAATTATAACTCGTTATATAAGAATACATCAATATACTCACAGTTCTATATATCAAAAAAGATAGTCAAATACAGACTTTATTCATAAATTGTTTTTATAAATAATTTTCTGTTTATACTACATACTCCAAATAAATCAGGGTGAGTAATATTGCTACATAAATCACAGAAACCTATACTGAACAGAAACATCAAAATGTGAAGCTAATGTTTCTCAACATATGTCGGTTAATACACTTCTGAAGGTGGTGTTTCATATCTACAACCTAACCTCCCAAGTAATGTGCTTTTCAATTTACATTACATCCAAATGGTAGAAGGCAAGATCAAGGCTATAGGGGAGTGGGGTAAGATTTACCAACAAAACTGTCATAGGACACTCTCGTTACCCTTGAAGAGTAAGCAGTGCACTGTCCTGATGAAAACAATTCCACAGCACAACTTTCCTGGCCTTTCTCTCACCAATGCGGTTTTCCATCTTCTTCAAACTTCTTCCTAAGAATCCCGTGATTGTCTTGTGTCCGTCAAGAAAACCTGCTGAGATCACCCTAAGGAATGCCAAAACAGTCCCCACAAACTTCTGGCCAGGCAGATTACCTTGGAAGACACTATTTTGACTGGGCTTTTTTTCTGAAGGTACCCTAATGAGACTAAGACAAGTATATTACTGAGAGAACTTGTCTGCAGTCATCCACTGATGGCAAAGACATGTTTGTTTACACATGTTTTGTTTGGAATAAATCTGTGCATGCATTAACTGGAGTCCTGGTAGCAATAGTTTTTGACTTACCCTGGTGCATCACGTCTCCCCTTCCTTTCTTGGTATAATCAGAAGTAGATGAATTTAATGTAAGAGACATATTTTAGATAAAACTTCCCAGATGATTTTGATAAATATTTTCTGTCATGAACTAATTCATTCATCGACTAGCTATTTTTCCTTCCAGAAAGACACTTTGTCATTAGTTTCACTAATTATCTAATGTTTTCCTACAAAGTTAAGAAATACAAGAAACTCAGAATTACACAAAAACATATGGGGGCTTTAAAAAGTTTGTGGAAAAATGGAATAAAATATTTTTTTCCATGAACTTTTTGAAGCATCTTCGTACATATACTCAGAGTTTACATTTAACTGACTATAAATTTGGAAGGAAAAGCAGGTCAATAATCCATGGCAACAGAAAAAAACTATAAATCCACTCACAATTGACCTGATAATATTCTGGGAAATAATTTCATTTAATACAATTACATCATGAACATTTAACTTATGGAGAGTCATCCATTTTTCTCATTGCTGGTGTTGGTTACTCCAAATGAACTCCAAAAGGCGCTTGCCGAAACCTGGGATTGAACCAGGGACCTTTAGATCTTCAGTCTAACGCTCTCCCAACTGCGCTATTTCAGTGTTGTTACAGTGAGTGCCGTTGAGTCAGTTCTGACTGATACCGACCCTGTATAGGGCTTCCACGGTGCGACTAGTGATTATGAACAGCCAACCTTGTGACTCAAACGAACTTGCAGTCTAGTGCTTATCCTACAGTGCCACACCAGGATTCCTTTTTCTCATTAGTTGTTCTTTTAACTCCATCTAAAAATATACAGCAAAGTATTTTATTTTGTGTGGCCTAACATATAGAGAAGATTCCACGTTTGTTGGAAATGAATGTATACTGCTGTTGCTGGCTGCTTAGTTCTGTATATTCTACGGTTAATTGTACTATTTACTTTGTCTGTGTCTTTGTTGACTTTCTTTCTAGATTTATCCTTCATCAAAAGTGCTACTATTATTGTGGACATGGTCTGATTCTCTTTTCAGTTTGAATGAAATTTGATTTCTGATTCTGGAACTCTTTCACTGAGTACACTGATAGTTACTATGGCCACGTCTTTTTGTTTGAATCTATAATCAATCATTATACAAGGGGACTTCAGAAATTTTGAGGAAAAATGAAATGGAAAGATAATAGAATTTTTCTATGAACTATTTGAAACCACCTCATATAATGTCCTAACTTGTTTCTTTTTCTGGTGACTTGCATGTTTCTGTGATGTTGTAGATATGTCACTGGTATTTTAAATACAGGGTTACCCATGGTATACAGGTTTCAGCTGTGTTTCCAGACTAAAGCGGACTAGGATGAAGGAGAGGCAGACTACTTCTGAATGTTTAGTCACTGAAGACTTTATGAATAGCAACAGACTGCTGTCAGATAAAATCACCGTAAACAGTACCAGAATACTGTCAAATATAGTGCCGGATGATGAGCTCCTCAGGTTGGAAGACACTCTAAGTATGACTGGGGAAGAGCTGCCTTACTCAAAACAGAGTTGACCAAAATGACGTGATTGGAGCAACGCTTTATGCACCTTCGTGTGTTGATGGGGCACAACTCAGAATGAGAAGAAACAGCAGCAAACATCCATTAATAATCAGAAC